TGATGGATTTATTCGATTTTTATTTTTAAGCAACTCTTATCAGCATGCTTCAGTGATGAACTAATCGGTAATACCATTCATTAATGTTATGTTCCTTCTATACGTTTCTTATAAATTTATTGATTTCAAAAATTTTTAATGTTTAAGTTTTACGTTTGTTTTCTTAGCGTGAAACTCCTTCCTAAAATTCAACAGTTATTTTAGCAATTATCGCGCTATACAATTTGGATTTGCATGAAATAGAAATGTTAAAATTTGCAAGATTTATATGATGGAAGATTTCAGAAGTGATTGAAGTTGCCAAATTGACAATTTTGGAATTTTTTTTTCGTTAGTTCCTCAACTGCTGTCATCATATCTGTGAAATTAAATGAATGATTACAGTAAAGATTGGAAATGATTTATTGTGCTTTTGCTTTATCAACATGAAATTATATTACTGCTATGCTTAACAAGAAGGAAATGGCTTGAAGCGAATAATCAAATTCATATATCGAATTGGACTTATTTTTTCTGCATTGATTACTAAAATTTTGATATGAAATTATTATCTTCTGTGATTTACGTTCAAAAATGACGTTTAAAGGGAAGGGAAATGTGGATATGCATTAAAATGATTACAAAGAGGAAAGATGTTAAAGTGAGACCGGCAAGTAATCAGACCAAATTCCAAACATTGATCAGCTGAGTATAGTATTCACATTAGGCAAGACATTCGCTATGAATGAATAATGCAGAAAACAATGCTGTAATACATTCAATGATCAGAAAAATATATTTAAATGATTTAAGATCCCGAAGAAAATCAATAAACCATATTTTTTGCATAATTACATTTTGAAACCTTTAAAGGTTCAGAGTATTTCGAATCACGTTGCAAAAATCAATGATTCATATCTTTGAGGCCTTAAAAAATCTGTTCACTTCCAAAACACTCCCAAATCCAAGAACTGTTTTTCCTCCTACGTTTGCATATACCACGCGACGATAAATATTGTTAATTGCCAAATTGCACCCACAAAAAACAGTTTTTTTGCGCAATGAGTGTAATATTCTCAGACTTAAAAGGACGCTGCACCTTCGGTCATACTTTTCTCAATTTCTCTGCAGATTAAATGCATTTGATGATTTTGTTTCCATCATCTTTCTTATTTTTAGTTATCAATTACTTTACAAGTTTTAATATTCGCATGCATTCAATAACGATTCATATTCAACAAAGCTCGAAGATTGAAAATATCCTTCAATTTGATCAACTCTTTGGCAACATCCCAAAAGAGCGTAACTTCCATTTAACATTACTCTTATTAACATTGACGATATCTTTGCATAGCTACGTTTCACTTTAAAAATTTGCAATCAATCTTTATGCTTCATCAATATCTATGTTCAGCCAATTATGAAAGTCATTTTTGAGTAAGACAGTCATACAAAATAATCCATCCAATGATTTTAAAAAATTTATCTACGAGAAGTATCAATGTTGAATTCACAGATTTGTCTGAGATAAGGATGACTTAAAACACTATCAAGCAGCACATTAGCATGTTGTGCAGTATTTGGCATGCATTTATCCATAACATTGCTGATAAGATTCCATTTTTAAAGCTTACGATATCAACTTGTAACTTTTATACTGGCAAAGAAATTGGCTGTAACTGCTATATATTAATGCTAGCATATTTATGAAAGTAAATCCAAAAATTAACGTTGTCACTTTCCATCAGATTATCTTCATCAGTGAATTACGCCAATATATTCTTTAGAATAGATGAATTTTGCAATAATAAAGAAGTTCGTTGCAAATTGTCCTTAGGCTATTACAAGTTAATGTATTTTCAAGAACAACTTTAAAAATTTAATATAGAGTAAATCGACTTTTTTTTCACAACATAATGTTATTTGGAATTGAGTAAACTAGCTACAAAGAAAATGTTAATTGCAATTAAATACACTAGACACAAAATAGTGTTAACTGAAATTAAATTAAATTAAATTAAATTAACTGGGTGCGACAAAGTGTTAAGTGAAGTTAACTTAAAATAATGCTAATTAAGAAAACTAAGTACGGTATGTTTCGTTACACCTAATTTATCGCTCTTCCACATAGTTTATTCAGTTCCAGTTTAACTTTCGTTGACATTACAATCAACACAATCAATTTCCGTTAATCCAATAGAGAATTCCTGTTTGAGTGGGGGAGTATGAAGCATGGATGAGCGAGGTTGCACGTTTACGACACCTTTCACTGTAAGCATGAAAAGCGACAAACACATATTCGGACAAATCAGATGTCACCTCTCTCAATTTATCTCCCTGCAGAGATATCTCTTGTCACGTCAAAGTACCACAAGACGTGCGATGTATGCAAAGTACCACACGCACCCTGAAGTGATGATCCCATTATCTCTTCCATGCACTGTCCCTTTTCCACACTCTTTCAAATATCATCCATCTGTCTGTTTCTCTTCTTCACTATGTCGCTCAATAATAACCCATCGTTTCAACTTATCGATTTGATATGTTGACGAGTGAATGAATTTCCTCTCTAACTGCTGAACAAAATAGTATGATGAATGTTGCAGACGACAATACTTCATGTGATACAATATATTAATGTGGGAGAGTATTCGAGACGTGGTAACTAGGAGAGATGGTGAGAAGGTAACCATGGAGTACTAATAAAAAGGAGAGCATTGTTTGACGAGAGTGATCAATGCGATTGTTGAATAGTGTTAATTATAACTAAACAAAGAAGAGCAAGAGAAATTATAGAGAAGATGAAATAATATTGAATAGCTGTTATTGATGTGAGGCATGCAGATGGTTAGGATGTTGATGAAATAGAGTTGTCTCGGAAATCGATCTGTCTGCCAGACGATTAGACAGTGAGCTGTTCCATTATAGGAACCAACCAATGGCGCTTCTGTTGCTAACACGCACGCATAGAGAAACAGAGTGGCAAGGCGTTACTAATGTGTGGTAGGTGCATTTATCGCTGAACTTTCGTGTGCGTATGCGTGCATGGCTGTGCACGGCACGTCTGTTTCTGCGAGGTCGATCAGAATCACACGCTGTACGTGTGGTACCTGTGAGAACATGGATAGGGATATTCTGGACCGTCGATATCTCAATCGTCTTTTTAGCGATTTCATTCCAAGTGATGCCATTTTACTGTTTCATTTTCTCTGTTCGTACATTTAAATATACATGTGACTTTTCCTGTGCCTCTACATTCCTACTTTTCACGTGTAATCATACGTAGAATGTTGTGTTTAATTTGTTTTACAATACACTCAGCTGATGTTGATTACTCTCTATTACTAACAATATTGTTGCATCTCTGTGACAGTTATGTTTCACTTTGAAATTAACAGTCAGTTTTTAAGCATTTCCGTCATTTACATGGAGCACAAGTGCAGCAAATGACACACTGAATTTTAGTGCAAATGTAGTTGGAGTAAAAGAACAAAAAGAATGAAGTAAACTATTACAAAATGTTCGAGTAACTGACGTGCTGGAATTTTCCTTCATTAATTTTAGACTTATTTTGGTATCGAGAAGTTTATTTTGAAACTGCCTATTATCGGTTAATTACGTGTAGCCGGTTCCTTAATACGGGATGTGAATTAAGGTTACAGTGTATCAGCTTTATCTTTAACTAGTAATATTGCAAGACGAAGGCAGTCTTTACTGCTTAGGGAAAAAAGTCTTATAATGATATCAGTTCATCAAAATTTAATTTTTACTTGAAAATATTTAAAGACTTTCTCACGCAGTAAAGAGAAGAAATTCTTTTTTTATACCGCGAATTGCAAGTTACTTCACTTCATGGCAAAATCGTGTTCTGAAGATCCCATGAACATGTTTCTGTCCGGAGGAATTGGTCGTATTCAGTATGAGGTTATTGTTAGCAAGTGGTGAGTCTCTGCGAGATTTCAATTTGAATTGCGTGGAGTGGTTCTGATAGTTATATTTTAATCTCTACATTTATATGACATCGCATTAAGTTTAAAACTCGCTAATTGTTGTAAGCCATCACATCTTTATTTGCTCTGCAAGAACTTTGTCCGGCGCCTGCGTTGTTTAATTTATTATCAATTTTTGATCAATTTATTTAGTTCATTGTATCTTTAGATGTGCTCGATGTGTGTAACGTAATATGCATGTATGAGAAGCTTTTATATAATGTGTATAACATAGGCATGTGAAATGAGATAAAGAAATGGAATTTGGTTTAGTGTAAGTTTCACTTTTATACAAATATTGTTCATTTCTCGTGATAGCTTTTCTTACTGTGATTTTTCTCTTGGTTGTGATTTCAAAAAAGAGCTATGTCACAAAATGTTGGAGTATATGGCTGCTGACTGAGAAAAGCGTGAGGTCGAAAAGTAACAGTTACATTTTGATATCGTGTGAAATTTTCATCCACAGAGTGTTCTAGAATTTCCATGCTTTCCGAAATTAGAAAAAAAAAAAAGACTTGGGAAGTGCAATTTAAAATTTTTGTTTCTCATGCATACTTGCAAGCAAAGAAAAAGCATCTTGGATGATACATTCGTTCCCAATATCTTTTCATTATGCTCATTTTAGTGGATGAAAATTAGTTTCTTTTTTGTTCCTCAGTGCGTTTTCACCTTCAAGGTTATTTATGGAAGTGACGGATTATGTATATCCTAGAAAACATTTGATCAGAAATGAAATGGGAAAGATTAACACATCATCATACACTTCAAATTTTTTTCATTACTATGGAGAAGTCATTCTGAATGTCATGATAATCTAAAACATGAGAGAGATGAAACGACGATTCTGTTGACACAGGAGAATAAAATATTAAGATCTGAAATATCAGTGAAAAAAGTGGACTTGGTGCTGATATTGAGATACTGTACACTATGCCTATGAAAGATGATTTGTTTTTAAATGTTCGCGAAATGTAGCGCACAGTGTTTTGCGTGAATATATAATTTATAATAACCGGTGCTGTAGATCTCAGAATGGAGCGACGAAAACGAAAATCGTCAGTTGCGGAGTATCTCGACAGGTTAATGGAAAATCCTGATAAAGTACAGCGTTGTTCAGAGTTTCATATGCATTTACGGACGTTTTACAAAAAGCGATGGTTAGATGTGTTAACATTTTACTTTATTAGGATTCCTGATTGAGGGTAACTTGGTCTAGATGTTACAAGTCCTGTTTGGTGCTCAGATAACTCACGTGGAATGTAGCATGTTAACAATCTCGTTTATTAGTTATGATTTACAAAANAAAAAAAAAAAAAAAACATTGTTAACTCATTTCTGGCTAATATCCATTCTATCATTTTCGTAATACAATTTAATGAGTAGATGTCCAAAACCACTCTAACTTTTATCATCGGAGTTATGTGGGTAGGATTTTTCAGTGGTTCGTTTCAGTCCTGAACCTGTCTGATTATTAAGGGTAGCATATCTCCCACTAATGAAGGGACTGTACGCTATAAATGATCTTGCATAAGTTTTTTCATTCTAAACCGTCAAACGATTTTTTTATTTATAACATAGAATATCGGTGGGAAATTAATCTGAAAAACTTACAGGAATTGTCGGTTGAAGTCTCCACATATTCAAGGTGTTGAAGTGGATCTTTTTCGTTTATACGACACTGTTATTTCAATGGGTGGATGGCAAAAGGTTACTTTGTTCAAATGATTATGTATCTCCAGAAATGTTGTATAAGATCTTTTGCTTATAACTTGCAAGGTAGAAGTATTTGATTATTTAAGTGTTTTTATACTGAAGATGCTTCGATTTCCGCAGAACCATTTTTTCTATAATTTCTGAAGCTCTTTGACTTCTGAATTTTCCCTAATTGTTAATTATTGCTCATTATCAAAAAGATTTGGTCTTTCCATTCTGGGCATTTTTATCCATTTTGACTGCATGATGTTTGAGTTTGAAGTTTTCTTAAAAAGCACTTCAATTTTTTACTTTCAAACTGGATTGCAAAATTTTCAAGTTTTTCTGTTAGAGAAGAACTTCAGTAAAACGCCGCTTGTGCAGTTTAATGTATAAATTAATATTAATTCGGTATTCTTAACAAAAATTTCATACTAAAGATCACACTTTTAACATAGAAAATGAACATCTTCCAGTGTATGATATGTTGGAAAATTTTTCATTCTCAGGTTTCTTTTAATGAGAAATGGGGGGATATTGCTCGTGCGATCGGTCTTACAAACGGTGTGGCAGTTGCCGAACATGCAATCAAAGTGCTTTATATGCGGTAAGTCTTCCGATCTTTTTTGGAATTTTAAGGGGACCATTTTTTAAAAATCTAAAAAAAAATGCTTGCTCTTCTTCTAATTTTCCTCCCACTTTTTTAAAGTTTTAAATATTTTTTCAGATATCTTTCAAAATATGAGCAAAATGAATTAGTTGGTGAAGTGGATGATGCAGATTCAGATCTTTTAAGTTCGAGAAGTCGAAGTAAAGGTTTTTCATCGCTGGCTACTGCTGATTGTCCAATCAGTACCGGGCAGAGGCAAGCTTCAGGTACAACTGTGAACTAATTAGTTTGTAATTTTGTGTAAGGTTTTTATACGAATTTAAATATAATTTTTATGTGAAAACTTGTGAACACTATCTTTCTTGGAACTTTTGCTTTTCATTACGCTTCCAACTTAATAATATATCAGCATTTCGGTATGTATAAAATGCAGTTATATAGTAATCTTAGGATATTTCTTTCATAGTCATCGTTGGATTTACAATGTGTTGTGTTTGATTTACAGAGTATTTTCGATTGCGGCCAGAAAAGAAAGAAGCAGAATACGATCGCATTGTTAAAAGTCTTCTTTCTGGGTTGCCGAATGAAGTAATTGATTTATTCTATATGCAGTATAGTAGGTGTCTTGATTTTTGATGTCTTTTGGAGAATGACCTCTGATTAATGTATTTGAGGTGGATTTCGCTGTAAACGTATGCACTTTATTATCTCATCCTGGACCTAGAGTTCTTCGACTTGTTGCTGCTCCACAGATTATCACACTTCTGATTGCCCATCTTGCAATCTTCCCAGATGGTTTGTGAATTGCTGTTTAACTGAGAACTTTTTAAAAATAAATGTTATGCAAAAGAAGAATATTACTGCTAAACAGTGTTTAGCAATAATGAACTGTGTCGAAGTTTCACTGTAGGTGACCGGGCATTTTACGACTTGTACAAAAGTTGGGAATTGGTTTCTGGTCACAATTTCATTGCATTTTGGAGTGGAGCTGGTATCACTGATGACGAAGTTCTCAAGCTTATTCCTCATATCAGACCTTCTACGGTATAGTTTTTTTTCTGTCAATTTTTGGCTTATGATGTCAATAATTGCAAGTATTGCTAAGATTGTTGTACGAAATATCGCTTTAATATTTTTTAATTTGCATATCGTAAAGTCATATATTAATGAAATAATAGATGATTACAGTATAGTATTTCTTTTTCGATTATGTTGTTTCATGTTATCAGTTATTTCATTTTGAGGTGTCGGAAGAAGAAAGTAATATATTTTGTGGTTTGGACACTGAATTTCAACCACGAAATGTTGTATCATGGCGAGTACAGCAGGTCTTGTCAATCATAAGGAATCTTTCCTTTGAAGTGATTAATAAAGCTATTCTGGCAGCGAGTTGGCCTTTACTTAAGTATGTTTTTGAAGATTAAGAGTTAAGATACAGATTAGTTTGGTTGTTTTATTAATATCGCTTCTTGCTTCTGATATAATTGCATATCGTATATAACAGACAATAAAAGAGACTGTATTACACTTGCTTTCTTTCTTTTTGACTAATTGCTAAAAATTTCTCATTTTTTATACATTTTTTTTCAGATTTCTTTTTATTTGCTCGAATTGTAAATGGAGTATGTTGAGGACAGCAGCGCTTGATGCGTTAAGTAATATCGCTTGTGAAGTAAGCTAGCATTTACCCACTTTTCAAAAAAATTTTCTAGATTTTTTCGATAACTTCCAATGTACTGCTATGGCTGTTAAAAAATTTAAAGAAATCATTAAAGGACTTAACTACTTTGTCATATTTCAGATTGATCTTATGGCGGAGGAATCATCTTCTACCAATCATTTGTTGCTAAAAACGGTTTCATGCTGTCTTCATTCTGACGATAAGTTTCGAGTAAGTTTGTCAATGTGTTAATCTTGTGAGCTACTCTTGTTTACTTTTTGGATCAATATAAGATTTAAATAATTTTGAAGTAAAAGGGCGCTTTGTGTCCATTCTTCGCTCGGTAGATATTATCTTGTTTAAAAGAAAAGTCACAATATTTATTGTAAAAAAATTCACCACCCTCCTGTCGTGATTCTTCTCTTGTTTAAGGGAAGAATCACAATAAGAGGGCAATGAGGAGTTTGCAAAGTAATTATACCATTTAATTTAAAGGTTCAATTTATAGGTAATTCGAGCCCTCGAAATTCTCTCCGGATTGTGCAATAATGAGCGTAATGAATCTCTTATCTGTGAATTTCTCGATCATCGTATTTTATCCAAAATATTTACCGTGATTTCCGTCAAGGATATCATGATGTGTGTTTATACTCTGGAATCTCTATATCAGGTATATTGTGTTTCTGATACTAAAGCTATGCAATGATATTTATTCGACCATTATTTTTTTTTATTTGAACTAGGTGTAGAACTGGTCAAATTTGATGATCCTCTGCAGCTTATTACTACAAGTATATTTTATAATTTTTCAGATGACTATTTGAATTTAGAAGTTGTTATTTAGTACTTTTATTATTTTAAGATAATCTTTCACTGTTTTTTCTTTAAATTTTTTGTTGTCTAGTTAGTAATTTTTGCAGATCTCCGAATTGGGAGCAACCGCTTGCTACCAATTATCTCGTTTTCCTCATGCAATTGATACATTGGTGTCTTTAGCAACAGTTGAAGCAGTTTCTTTTGGTCCATCCGGATTGATAGGAATGAAAGTGGTTGAATTTCATGGCCCATCACAGCTTGCCCCTCCACCTCCACAAAATATATCAATATCTCAAAATCAGGTATGGTTTTAAAAAGACATTGCTTCGTCCTATTTAAATTTTTTTGTTTTGAAAAAAAATTGAAAAAAAAATTGAAAAAAAAATTTAAAAGAAAGTTTTGTTTTAAAAATTTTAGAACAAACTTTTTAGACAGTCAGGCCAGGTTCCTTCACAACACCTACGCATTCCACGAGTTATTCGTCCAGGTTGATAACTCCACGCGGCACTTCCAATACATCAACACCAATAATTGGAGATTCTAAGGTTTTAAATTTCTTGGACATTTTTTAAAGTATCGGTTGTTTATGCCATGTGGTGTAATTATGGATTCCTTTTCCACGTAATCGCAGCTATATTATGCAGCTTTTTTTAATTATATTAATTTTGTAATTAAATATAGCTTGGTTCATTTACATAATTTTTATAGGTTGAGCAATTGACTGCAAAGTGGATTCGAATGAATTGTATTTTTGAAATGGGCAGTGTGGTGCCTCGTGGAGAATTATATGCAAGCTATGTTGATGACCTTCGGCACCGTTATGGCGCTCTTTCGGGCTCTGTTCAAACTTTTACAAATATCATGAGGTTTATTTTCTAATGTTTTTTCTTAAATTTATCTGGAAAAATCGTGAAAAGCATTAAAAGACAAAATTATTGTTTATCGGGAATATATTCAAATCAAATTTTCTGCGTACACTTAAAATTATTTAATTCAGAGCGGTGTATCCAAATGTCATACTTCGAGTTCAGTCCTCATCTGGTAGTAATATGCCATTTTTTGAAAATATAAAGATGTGTCGATTGAATCCGAATATGAGTAGCCATGAAAATCTTGTTGGTAAGTTTGATCTTCATTTTCACAGATGCTAGATGTGCTTTGGAAAACTAACTGTTCAGAAGTTGTTGATACTGAGCTTTCTTCAAGTTGTATTATTTTATAAAATATGAAATGCTTTGCAGCCTCTACAAACACAGATTCTCATACATCTTTGGTAGCGAATCATCCGCTTGTGCAGAAAATGCTCACAGATAACGCGAATGCTCCAGCAATTTTAAATGGCCATACTACAGTTACCGTAGTTGCTGCTGCTCCAACCGTTGACAAGAAGTATTTCCCTATTGAAAGTTTAAAATTTTAAGAATTTTGAACATATCGCCAGCAGTAGGATGAATTTTTAGTTTAACTACGGTAAAGTCCAGTTTCTGTGCTGATCTTTTCAGAATTGGGGAAGAATCTCGATTCTCTGTGCTGATTGTGACATTTTTTGTTTGCAGATCAATGAAAGAAACAGCTAACAATAATACATCAACAGTTTTACCGGCGTCATATCTTTCGGAGAACACAATACGTCCTAGTTCCTCTCATATAGCAAATGCACAACCTTCAACCAGCTTGTCACTTGGCCAACAGGTATTTATCATAATTAATCTTAACTTTTTTGTATAAATATAACAGGAAAAATAAAGGGATTTATGGTTAAATTTTGTAGAAATGGGGAGAGTAAATTATATAATTTGAAATTGGTCGAGTAGTAATTATGGTGCATGATTTCATGCTAAAGAAGTGGCATGGGAAGAGATTTGGCGCATAGAAAATGTTTCTCAAGTAGTCATAAACGCTGTGAATGAAAAACTTGTTTTATGAGTGAATTATTAGTTACTTTTATCTAGTTGTAATTGATTTTGATTAATATCAATACTAAAAATTTCTAATTAAATATCCCACTCCATTTTTGACATGTGCAATATTGTGAATTGTGAAGATTGTGGATCTACTTCTTTAGGCAGGTAATCCTCCTTGGAAATGGAAGCAGTTGTTTGATTTTAACAGAGTTCTCTCAGTAACTGGAAAATTGTAGGTACATAACCAAGTACAATCCAAAAGTGCTATTGCAAGGCGTATGAATGGAGTATGTGATAGTCGAGCTATAAATAGTGAAAATGTGGCGAATGGTTTTGATAGTGAACTCACACGATCTTCTGGAAGTACGATCAGTCAAGCATTGAATGGAGATCCAACATCTTCTGGCTCGAAAGAGGCAAAATTTTTTTCGCCTTTATAAAACGGGATGCTGTATAAATTACAAGCATTTTTATGCTAAGTTCTTGTTGAACTGAATAAATCTTTATCGGAAATACAAGGCGTGGTTCAAATCTTAGTTTAAGGTGAAACCGGTGGTAAATATTGTAAAGGCGAGTGCTGATACTCAGGTAGTACATCCCACGACATCTACAGTGAGGAGCACTCGTGATGATGATTGTGATTCACTGAAATCTTGTTCATCTACACCTTGTTCTCCAGTCTCTGTGAAGCGGCGTCGGGTATCAGCCTGTTCCAACAGCAGACCAACTACATCTTCAGCTGACAGTGACGATTATTTGTGTGAATGGAACGGATGTGGGAAGTAAGTAGGACAGCCCTTTTGTTATTCTAGTACATAATATTTCTTAGTTAAAACTTTGCAACTTGTAACTGTTTTTAAAAATACGTATATACAAAATTTACGCTACATTCCAGGGAACGGTCCGCATTTTCTTTCATCTTTGCTTTCTCATTTTTTCAAAATTTTCTTTTAGGCACTTTTCATCCGCATCTTTTGTTCTTTATCACTGTACCAAGGAACATGTTGGCGAAGATCATAACATACAGTGTCACTGGCCACGATGTGATTCAACAGTGCGCGCCAAATGGTCTATGGTGACGCATTTACAAGATCACCATTGCAATGAAGTTGCTCTGAAAGCTGCTGCCAAAAGACGAAAAGAAGGTTGATGAATGCAAAAATTTATTGATGCAGTAAAATATTCACCTATGCTATGGTTTTTTAAAATTAATGATTAAATTAATAAAGAGATGAGATCAAGCTTAAGGAAAAATTGCATTGTTGCTTGAGAATTATCCGTATTCATGGACTCTTTTTTATGTCGTTTTTTCTTGTTGCAGGCCACGGTTTACCTTTAGGGCCAGTTAATCCGGAAAGACCACGAGAAATTGTGCAACATCCGGGATATTCAAAGAATGCAGCTGTTGAAGCAATCCGGCGGCATGCCTTTAATTATCTTCCCCGTGATATCACGGTATTCTTGTTTTTACTTCTTCGAATTATATAATTCATGCTGCGATGTTTTCAAAGTGTCTGATTTATTTTTTGCTTTAAATTTAGGATTAAAACCTTTGAAAGCATAAATGTGTGAACCAGTTAAGAACTTATAGGATGATCCTGAAGGACCCGTGACAAAAAGTATTCGTTTGACCAGCTGTCTTATCCTTAGAAATTTGGCGCGTTATTCAAGCGATGGGAGACGGTAAATTTTTTTCTTTCTAGTAATAATCACATAATCTTATTTTGATTTGAACTTTTATGTAACTTGGGAGAATGTGATATTCCCATTTCTTTTTCTTTTGTTTACGGCATGTGACATGAATGCCACAAACAAAAGAAAAAGAAATGGGAATATCACATTCTTGTCCTCATAAGATCAATTTTATCTTTAAACTTCAGTCATTTTTATTGTCAGTTAAATGCAATCATTATCCAGTTATCAATTGCCTCAACGTTTTTAGACTTCTTCGCCGGCACGAACGTCTGCTTAGCTGGTTATCATTGTCGCGTGTGGAAAGTAGCTCAGCATTAGCACAACTTCTTGCTGAACTGTATTCTCAGCCGTCTTCGTCTTCCCCTCACTATTCATCCTCATCCTCATCACCTCATCGTACTTATGTGCCAACTGCATTAAATGCTGTAACAGTTGCAAAAGCCTTATGACCAGTAGAAAATATTTATATTATCGTAAGAGGCATATTATCATCTTGCAAAATCAATTATTTTAGTAAGAATATTCTCTATCATCTAATCAATGTGTTTGTATTGACAAACATGTGGTTTTCTTTCCATCGAACAAGTGATTATCGCCTTCTCTCTTTGTTAATTGTTGTCTTTAGTCGAAATTTCTTCACTCAATAGGTATTACTTGGTACGTATTCAAGTAACCCAAATTTAGGGTATTGAAGCACAATTTTAATTTTATCATTACAAGTGGAGGATTTGATTAAGAACCGCCTGCATATTGCGAAGCTTTTCTTACCTATTCATTTTCACACATGAATTTTCTTCCATAAGTTTGAAGCATATGTTTGAAGAAAACATTTGGTACGTTTGTATAAATGCTCTTTGTTTTGCGGACCATTCATAGTGTTTTGTAAAATCATATTCTTCGGATTGTGTATGTTCATATGTGTCGCATTAATTTTTTTATGAATTTTAATTATACTGTATGACATGAAGTTGTGTCGTTGAGAATTTAAATTGAATATGATTTCAATAAAGAAATTTCCGACAGATTATTAGCAGTGTTGTCGAATCACATATATTTCTAGTAGATAGCTTAAATCACGTCAACAACAGAAAGTTTAATTTGTTGTATAAAAATATTCTACGAATTGTGGTAATAGATTGAGAGGGTTATAATGATAGCTACGCCAAAATGGCACATCACATACGCTGTAGTAATATTTCTGTTTGTACAAGTTTAGATATTTATAGACTTCAGGATCTGGTCATGGCCTACTACGTCCTGGGGTTTTTCGTATCTCTGTAAATTTTGGGATGAAGTTTTGATGTTTAAATTGGATATCTAGGGGTATAATGAGAAATTGGAGAAGATGACATCAAAACGAGAGGTGTGCTATTATTTTCATCACGATGTACCAAATTTTCATTATGGCTCGAGGCATCCTATGAAACCGCAACGCTTGGCTGCTCTCCACAGCCTAGTTGTCAATTACGGTTTGCACAAAGAAATGCTTGTGCTCACACCACCACGTGCATCTGCAATGGAGATTGAACGATTCCATTCGAAGTAAGTTCTTCGTGCATTTCAGAATCATTTTCGATGTGCGGCAATTTAACTATTATTTACTGAAGGTTTATCGTTTCTCCTTTCAAGCATCTATTCATTCAGTTTAGATATAGACGTGTAAGATTATTTTTTGCCGCTCAGCTATCGGCTATTTCATTAATTCTGACAGATTTTCATTTTGGTTTTTATAGTTATTCAAAATTGTAAAGGGCATGAAATCATCTGACCGTATATTATGCTAGTATAAATAAGATTGAACTTGGAATTGTTTAAAATTTACTTTATTGATTGTAGTGACTTGCAAAAGAATTAGGCTGTGTTGAAATTTTATGTTTGGAGGGATTATGTCGATTTTCTTCAACGAGTGTCACCCCGCACAGCTGACCAATATGAAAATCTGTTCTCACAATACAATATCGGTGAAGACTGTCCAATTTTCGATGGGATTTTCGAATTTTGTTCCATTTATACGGGCGCTACACTTAGTGGTATGTTTTAGATCTTTAGACTTCACATAATAATTTGAATGAGGTTTCTGACTTAATTTTTTTTAAGTCAGAAATCTCATTCAAAAAAAAATTCCGAATATTTTATTTGTATGTAACAAATAATAACATTTTACAGGTGTTGCTCGTTTAAATCATGGTTTAAGTGATATTGCTATTAATTGGAGTGGTGGTCTTCACCACGCTAAAAAACGTGAAGCTTCAGGATTTTGTTATGTAAATGACATTGTTATTGGAATTTTGGAATTGCTCAAATATCATCCTCGAGTACTTTATATTGATATAGATATACATCACGGTGATGGAGTTCAGGTAATCTGTTTAACAAGCCAATGAAAATTTCTTTAAATGGAATTTAACTGTCGTTATCAATAATACAGTTATTTAATTTATTAATTTTTCTACGTTCTAGTTATTTTCTCCAAAAAGAATATTTCCAGGAAGCATTCTATTTGACTGATCGAGTGATGACCGTTTCGTTTCATAAGTACGGCAATTATTTTTTCCCAGGAACTGGCGACATGTATGATGTTGGACAGGACAGTGGTCGTTATTATGCTGTGAATGTTCCCATGAAAGAGGGAATGGATGATGAAAGTGTGTTTATTCATTTATGTTAACGCAGAAATAATCCGTACAGACTTGTAAAAAATACAGCTTTCTATTACATTTATTTCTGTCAGCTTTTGTTATAAGAATAGTGTTGCAAACCTCATATTCATTACCAAATTGAGAAATCCTATGGAATATTGAATTAAATTTCAGTTATGGAATTGAATTCATTTCAGATTATCATTCCTTATTCAAACCAGTTGTACGTGCTGTTATTGATTGTTTCAATCCATCAGTTATTGTACTGCAATGTGGAGCTGATTCACTAGGATGTGATCGCTTGGGGTGTTTTAACTTGAGCTTTTCGGGCCATGGGTTCGTTATCTCTGCTTGTTCAATTTATTGATTAAAAATAAAAATTGTTTGCCAAAATAATTTTCATCCTTTCGTCAATATTTTCTCTTTCATATTTACTGTAAATATCTATTTGCTAAGAAAACTATGATGGATGTTTCATGTACATCGACTGGCGAAAAATTCTCGCGCAACACTCTAACTTTTATCCAAACGATAAAGGCATTCCAGCAAGGCATTCCACTAGTTATCTAATACCATTTTAGGGAATGTGTAGATTTTGTTCGCAGTTTGGGAATTCCAATGCTTGCAGTTGGCGGTGGAGGATATACATTACGTAACGTTGCACGATGTTGGACATATGAAACTGCAATTTTGGTTGGCAAGAAAGATGAAATACCAGACGAAATCCCAAATAATACTGGTGATATTTCATTCGCTCTCGAAATTGAAATTTCAGATTCTCAACAGTATCAATTAGCATGGTACTAGGGTATTTCAAGAAAACTACATTGTTTTAAACATTTCTGTTTCAGAATATTTACAGTTCTTTGCCCCTGAATTTACACTACGACCGACGTTAGCAAAAAGACAGGAGAATCAAAACACTAAAGAGGTCAGTCCAATCAACTACGACTTTTCTTAAAGAATTGTTGTGACTAAAAAAAACATTACCACAAAAGTGCGGGAATGTGTTATATTCTACTATTTTGATCTTTTATAAATTTAGCTTTTATAAAAATACTGTTTGAATTCACATTATTATTTAAACGTCTTTATGTGTCATTTCATATGTATGAAAGGTTCGAGCGATATTTTCATCATAATTTTCAGTATATTACTGCTCTGAAGCAAGAAGTGTTAGATCATTTGAGGCAAATCCGCCATGCTCCTTCGGTGCAAATGCAAGAAGTACCACCCGACCTTCTGGATCCTGATGAGGTACAGAGCAGTAATGATTTTTTTGCATTTTCAAAGGAGTTCTACTACAAAAATTTAAACTTCAACGATCATAGCATAACTTGAGTCCTAGTTTATTTTTTCAGATGCTCTCTATACAAGAATCTCCTCCAGACGTTCTTCCAACTGATAATGATCCAGATGGTGCCACATTCTTTGGTATTAGTTCCGAAGTTGATAGCTCATGATTTTCTGGCACCTGTTGGTATCATTTGGAACTGGTCTATCCTGGAACGCTTATCCGATGTACAGAAGAAAAAAAATACTACAAACTGCGATTTTTTTTGCACTGCTGTTTGGTTTTATGTAATGTTTTTATCAACTTGTATTGTTTAATTTAATTTCAAAATAAATCTGACACCTCAGAATGCATGCTCTCGCCTCATTCAACAAACTTAAGTTAAAGATTTCATATTTTGTTGTTTCAGATGAAATCGTTCGTGGTTCACATGAAATGAACAGCATTGTACAAGAGGACATATAAAGTTTTCCCCACATAGTTAATTTAATAATGAGTGACTATAAGTGGATAAGTCGAACATCCTTCCCAAAATAAAAAAGATTTGTATGTTACGAACAATGATCTACATATTGATTTATCGGCTTACAAACAGTTCAACTATTTATTTCACTTAACCGTTTAGTAACAGTAAAAACAAAACAACAGGTTAATAACTGATTGTAATGTGCAGTGCCACGCGACTTCTATATCGCACTGATACACTAATACTATTTATCTGTGATACCACATTTCGTGGCGCTACACTTCGAGAAAATATTAAGGAATATTTGTGGATACAATACTTATGTGGGACAATTGTTATGACGGCTTTAGAAAAATAAAAGCAAACGCAGGTGAAGAAATCATGAAAATTTTATTTAATATATCCATTCCAAAAGATGAGTTTCAGAAAATTTTCCTCCCGGAATCTGAATAAAGTTCAATATGCGTCAACAACTTACCAAAATATTGTTTAACGATGAAAAGTGGCCGTAAAAACGCTTCTTATCGAAACACGACTGTTTTCAGCGCATCTTCTGGATGAATCTGCAAATCTGCTGTAAAATATAACAATAAAATTTTTGTAAATAAGAGGAAATTACACAAATTTATCATTTCTTAAAAGAACGCTGAGTATTCTTGAATGGAACAGAAGTGTTGACTGGAAAATATTTAACATGCTTCTGACTTTTTTGTACTAGCTTTTTATACTATTTTAATACCATCATTATCGATATCAAAGAAGCACTTAGTACTCTCTCCAATAAATCGTGCCAAATACATTTTTAGGTTCTAAGCATCTTCAAATAACCATTCTTTTTTCCCATTAAATTCAGTATTTAATTTTCTCACAGAATAATTAAATCTGCACAGTGATGTATGAAGATGGATATTCAAAGTTTAATTATTTAAATCATTTTACGACACATTTCGTTAGACTAGCGAATAGTGCTTACATAATGTAAA